CTTCATGAATTATCTTGCATCCACACTCCACAATAAGACGGATTAGGAGAACGTAATAATAGTGACCTTCTAGCCACCACTAAAGCTTTCTCTTCCAAAATCACATCCCAAAACAATATCATAGCGAAATAGTACTTTCAACTATCTATGTTATTAACCATTTTCGCTCCAACGTTTTAGATTCCAAAAGTCCTCTAAAAGCACTTTTTTAGTTTTATCCAGAAGTAAGTGTCATAAACTATCTGGTCCCTCGAATATTTGGATGTCTCGCTTTTGTTCATACTAATTTCCATTAAATAGGGAAACTTGACCCACATGTCCTGAAATATGTGCTTGTGGGATACTCTTCATCTCAAAAGATGTACAAATGTCACCATTCGCTCACACACAAATTTTATATGTCCGCGGATATCATATTTCTTGGAAAAGAATCATATTTCATCCAACCTTATTTTTATGGGAAGCCTATATTTGATGATAAAGACATAGACTTCTTGACTGATTTTATCTATCACCTTTGCGACACACTCCAACACCATAACCACAGGCAAGTCCTCATAACCCACGAGAAAATTCACTCATTCAAGAGACCATACCTAACACTAGTTTTGAGGTGTATACGAGGAGAAAGAATCCAAGTTCTGAGCCTAAACTGGTCCAAGCATCCGACTTTGATTTTGGCAATGAATTACGTCTTGAAAAACCTGTATGAGGAGGAAGAATCCGAGTTTTGAATCTAAGCTAGTCCAATCATTTGACTTTCATTTTGGAACTGATGTAAGTCGCAAAAAACCTATACTGTGTGATAATAATATACTTACTACTCTGTAAAAGTATTAGGGAATGTACTAAACGTCCTCTTTATCTTGTTTCATAATTTGTGTCTTTTAGTAAGTGCTCACAGTCCCATAAAATTTCCTTACAAGTATGAATACTGTGTTTCTTCCTAACACTGTATCTAAAACATTATCTTATGAAAAATAAAAAAATACTGTAAAATGTGAAAATGTAGGCA